AAAATTGCAGACCCCCATGAAGCATTTTACCACATTTCGCACATTCATGGTCTTAGCATCGTCGAATTGTTTTTTTTGCATGTGTTTTAATACCAATCGCACCACTTTTCATGTTTTTTTTGCTGTATTTTGCCCAGATAACCATTTGCCAAGGTGAGTATAGAATTGAACCCAGAGACAGTTGCAGTCATTGATGTTCCCAGATACTGAGTTTGACAACGCGTGTTGGGACACTGGGAGGAGTGTAGTTCGGTGTCACCATTATATCACGGCTACCAACAAAGTGGCTCCTCCTGTCTTTTTTTCTAGAAATCGGAGATGTTATGGACGTTGCTTGTGATTTCCGGACAACTCTCATGAATTTGAAGTAAACAAACACTGAACAGTGCGACACAAGGTTGTGGAGTACAGCGCGTTTTTTTTTTTAACACCACATCCACAAAAAACCGTAGACGAACAAGAGAGGGGCATTTTGTGGAATTGTCCATGTAGCCCTAGAAGTTTCTGTTGTGCCTTGATGCTACCCAGCCTCCAGTTTTTTTTATCCGGTCATCCGTGACATCCCATGGATTTCACCGATTCTGTGACAACATGATGCCGTTGATTTCACAGGATCTGTAGGTTGCACTTGTTTTTGCTATTCTGTAGTACCTGATACATCCTGATACCCAGTTTTTCGGTGCTTGAATTATCTGTGAAACGGTCAAGAGATGGATTCTATAGCCAGTTTGGCGGATGTTCATCACTCTATTTTCAATACAGCCTAGCCTTTATGTAAGGATTTCCGTGGCATGGGATGGAGTATACCATTCCCCATATGTGATTATACAATTTCCATTAATATTCCCATGAATGTTCCCATTGATATCCCATTGAACCCAATTTTATCATTTGTTGGCCATGGCCCCATTTCATCTTTTAGTGAAGCCCCAGCGACAGATTTTTTAGGCGCCGGAGACGCGAGCCCAGCACCGAACGCAGCGACCGCAGTCTATGCCCTGATTGGTGAAGGGATCCGCGGTGAGTGGGTCATAGCTCGTTAGATATCAATGGGATAGAAGCATCCATAGGTTGTAAGATATGAAATATTTATCTAACACTCCAAGGGAGGATATCTTATCAATCTATTCTCTTTTGATTTTTGCAGTGATAACAAATGACTGCCAACTTTATCCCCAAAAGCTACTGCGAAGGGTTCCAAAGAGCAGCCGCCAATCCTCATCCTCATCCTCATCCTTTAGTCATCATCATCATCATCATCATCATGATGAGGATTATCATGAATCATGATGATCATGATCATCACTTCATCACTTTTTGTGAGGAACACATGGCATCGGTAACTTGTCTTTGAAACAATAATTCGATGTTTATCTCCTGTTTTCTGTCCGGGCCACAGTGTCGTCCAGTAGATTCAAATAGAGTAGAGAAAATCTGATGATAGCTAAAATCAGCGTGAACGTCATTGGAGGACATTCTGCCATGAGCGAATAATTGGTTCTCAACTCGAAAATCATTGGGGTATCCTGGGATATAACCCAGCCGCTGTCCATTTACGAACTTAAGTTGGATTATCCTGATTGCACGATGGACTGCGGGAAAAAACATAAGGGGACAATTTATTCCCAGATCTTTCGATTCCAAAAATCCTGCATTTGATGCTTTACTTTACCCACTGATGTGTGGGAGCCAGGAACTGCAACTCGTTCTCGGGTCCCAGGTTTGATCCATGTACTCAAAATCAGTGGCATTTTTTTCGGTCCATTGAACCACCCTGGGGGATTAGTGGTTTTAGGGGCGAGAATTTGAAATCCTGCTAGACATGATTCTATTTTTTGAAAGGTATTTCCTGTTTCTGAGGATTACTATGCTGGTTGGTGGTTTGGATTATGAATTTTACTTTCCATAATAAAAAAGGGATAATTCATCCCATTGACTCATATTTTTCAAGATGGATAAAACCACCAACCAGTATGTTTGGTACGACCTCTAGCAGTTTCCTATGGAAGTTCCATCGAATCATGCGACAAGGCCGCGGCGGCAGGCGGGCACTGGGGGTGTACCGTTGGTGATGCCCCAGTTTGGTACCGTTGGGAAACACAGCTCCAATGACTGTTGGGTTTATAGTAGATGTATATTTAATGGCATTTGGATAGTGTTACTAAATAGTGGTGTTTAGTAGTAGATGTATACTTACGTATCTATAATAGTAATCTTAATGGCATTTTTTTTTGGGTGACTTGCATCCAGCTGGAGGGCACCACCTGAAAAAGGAGCGTCTTGAGACTGATTTGGGTCCAAGTTCAAGAAAAGTGTTTTTTATTTTATTTTTTCTGGGGTCCCAATTTTGACCGGATTCATTTCCACTCCCGGGGATGCTTCTCAAAATTTCCAAATGTTCCTATTGGTTGCATCCCCTGAAATGGCACCCGATGAAAAACCGATGGTGACCGGTTCCAGCCCCATTTCTCCACCTTTTTGACCTAGGGATGAAGCAACTGGGATCAAAGAGGATTTGGAGGATCCTATTGAGGGTCTAGCCAGAAACATATCGTTATGAGTCAGCATTGGGTACGAAATTGGAGTTTTAAGCCTGAAAACGAACCAACAGGTTCCCAAGGCCGTCAAGAATTGACCGAGACCCATTCGTTTGGTAGCCCTTCGGACCTCAAAATCAAGGCTTCGAGCAAAGCCTGGAAGAATTCCTTCTCTTCTTGGGGATTTGAGTTGTTGAGAAACATTCACATGATTTTGGGATACGTTTGGGATGCGAAAGCTGCCGAGACGAGCATTTTTCATCCTGCAAGTTTGCAGACATCACCGAAAGAAGTTCCTGTAGATGATTTCCTCACTGAGGTGATGACCGTTTTTTCACTTCACCACCTTTGCCATCTGTGTATATCTATGTCATATCCGTATAATTTCTGAACACCTCACAAATAGTTCAGTCGATCAATGTGGTAAACTGGTAAACCAAATAGCAAATTATCATCGGCTCAGCTGGAAATTCCACTGGCGATCGTGAGGCACCTCCACTCCGCCACGGCGCCAGAGTCACACGCCGGAGCGGGGAGTCAAGTGGAAATTTTGGATCGCAAGGACCATGCGATAAGTTTGATTTTAGGCATTATGCGTTGGTATCATGTTTTTTGTGATGATGATTTATTTGCAGTATGGTTTGTTCGCTGTTTCCGGAAATGTGTGGCTAAACTGCAAGTCTTGTAACCTCCAAAAAGATAGAAACGAAGTTCCAGAATGGTATAGACGTATAGACTATATATTTCCCCATATTTGCCCCATATTTTCCAGGTGTCCAACTTTTTTAAAAATCTTTTGTGAGGTTACCATATATAGTAAGTTACAGTTTGTAGAAAATTGGCCAACGTGTACAGGACTACCTTTCCCTTTTAATTGCAGTTTATACATTTGCAACATATGAGTTTATACATTTGCAACATATGTACAACAACATCGGGAGCTTTGGAGTCCTTCTGGGACTTTGGAAGCAAATCTGACTGATGTGGGTTTCGGCTTTGAAGTGCTTAGCCCTGACAATGGGATCTTTCGTAAACCTGATGATGTCCATTTGGGTATGGCTTTGATTAGGCCCAGTTTGAACCACTGCCTGCCACTGGTCATTTTGAGTGTCGGCAAAAAAATCTAAAAAAACACATGGGATGAAACGCATCCAATTATGACAATAGAGTTTGATCCATATCCGGCCATTTACCAAGTTTTTTCTTGGCTTCGAACCACATGTTTATACACTGAATCGAGTGTATAAACACCATTTGTGTGATATAAATTTGAATTTTGTTGGTTCCTGGTTTGCTCTACATTCCTGTTGGATCATTTAGTAATCCCACCCCCCTAATATCAAACAACCCCAGATTTTTTCTGCTCATTCACCATTGAACTGGTACACATTGGCATCTACCAAGCCCAGCAACGCAGCTCGGAGCAGGACTGGGGTGGACCGATGTTTTCGGAATCGCCGCTTGGCGTTGGGTGAGACACGACACGTGGCTGCCACGTGAACCCCCAAGACATGGCCATTTTTAAAGAGGTGACGCCAGGTGAATCGTATTTCCGGAGCCATTTTGAACTTCGAAGTTGGATTCGACTTGGCGAATAGGATTAGACTTGGCTAGAGGCTGAAATTCTCCTGAAGTGCAATGCCAAAAACAGATGTTGGGGGAGGAAAGTGGTTTGCTCACGGTTTTGGCCATGGCTTGTCGTGCGGAATTACCGCCTTTTTTCGGTGAAATGATCCAGAAATCGCCAGCTGGGAATCTTCATTTGAGTTGACCAGCTGGGAATCTTCGAGGGATCCTCTGATAGTTCATCGACATTCGCTCCAGGATTCGAACATTCCGTAAGATTCCCAGAGATGATGGTTACGATGCATTAAAAAAGGGGTGAACAAATCGGGGAGTCGAAGACTGCGAAAGCTGAGACTTGTAGGCTGCAAATATCTTTGGTTAGAAGATGCTTTTGTGGGATCATCATGGGTTTGTAATTGGATATAGCTAGGTTACGATGCAATGGGGTCAATGACCCGAAGGATAAGTTTTGGGGAGTGCAGCTGCTTGATCAATGGGACCCAGTTTTTATATGTTTTTATCCCAGATATAGGTGTGGGTCAAGATTCAGGCACCCAATATCACCCAATAATAATGGATGGGTAATACAGCACATATTACCGGTCAACTATGGTCAACTTGCGGTGTCCTGCGTTTCAATTTTGAAACCCATCCCTACATCTATGTATGATTTATAGCGATCTCAGATGGCAGTTTCAGATTCAGTGTACACAGCGTAGGAGTATTTCGGAGAAGTATCATATCAAAAAAATCTCAGTATCACAGAATTGGATGATGGGAAAATTTACAGGAAACCCCTATATTTGATGGTAAAAACCATGGTTTCCTGTAGATTTTCCCTTAAACCAATCCATTGACAGTATCATTCAGTATCCAGGTTGTTCAAACCAAGCCTTCATGAGAGTTTACCCTTTGTCCGTTGTCCAAGTTGTGAAGCCGCCAAGGCCAGCCCTGCCGGGATCGCAACGGCAGGTGCCCATGGTTCCATTTTCAACATTTTCAGCGGGGATGGGTCACACAAATTGTGTATCTTATTATAATTCTTTATAGCTATGTACTATAAGACCATAGTATGATGATGGTATTTGATGGTGATGATGATGATGATGATGATGATGATGATGATGATGATGACGACAAATGATGATGATTATTATTATTGTCGTTACTTATTGTTTTGTGGGTATTGATACTTCAACACAGATTTTGGTGGACTATCATGATGATGACGCAATCGAGCTAGTAGATGGAACCCCCAAATTTTGTCCGTAGGATGATGTGTCAAATTGCACATGGCACAGTTTTGGGCTTCGAGCGGTGGTAAATGACCCAGTTCTGGCATTTTTTACACAGTAAACTGACAGAAAGATATGGAGAATTCGGGCCTTTGTACATCATTTTCTGGGGAAACCATAGACTTTCGCCAAACCTACTACGTGATACTCCGTGTTTGTTTTCGGTTCCAGACATTTGGATAAAACGTTTTTTAAAACCCCATTTTCAGTCTCAGTATGGTTCCATTAGATGAGAGATTGATAGAGATTGTCCGTGTCTATGTCCGGATGTGGTTTATCAGACATATTTTTCAAACCATTGGTCGACAGTGATCCACATGGGATCCAGGATTTCACCGTTGACGGCTCCAGCATGGCTTCAGGTGTCGCGTGATCGTGGCTATGGGACTTTGGAAGACAGCACCGGCCTGAGTTTGTTTAAAACGACTGCAACGTGTGTGAGTTTAAGTGACATTTTTTAGTGTCTGTTGATGTCTGTTGATGTCTATTGATGTCTGTTGATGTCTGTTGATGTCTGTTGATGTCTTTTTTTTTGGGATTTGGAAGCTTTTGACTAACAGCGCCTTACTGTTCACAAAAACCACGAAAAGCACCTCCCACAGGTGCTGTGACCGTGCAAATCCGTGGATCCCGGGAGGCGCCAGTCGACTCGGTCGACTCCCGACATCTCGATGTGTTAGTTGTGGTGAATGGTGGTTAATGGTGGTTAATGGTGGTTAATGGTGATTAATGGTGGTAAATAGTCTATATATGTCTATATATGTCTATATATGTCTATATATGTCTATATATGTCTATATGAAATAGATGAATAAGCAGCAAATATCTAGAATCTATAGAATCGATAGATATTCTTAGTTCTAACCCCCATTTTCCAAGTCATGGTGTACCCCTTTTGGCGAACCCCCCGAGACCGGTAGATCGACCAACGATGGCAATCCAGTTGTGTTTGATTTGGTTGCCATGGCATCATGGTGCAGATGTCGATAGAATTTCTACACAATAAAAAAAGGGCGACTTTTTGCACACATTGCAGTGCACTATGAGTTTTTCGAGCCTTGGAAGCGTTGAACTTGCCGCACTGATGGACCTTTTTTTAGAGACAGATGCTGCCACAAAACTACCCCTTCCTCATCAAAGTTGAGTCGAATGGGGCCCGATTCAAAAGTTGTTACATGGCCCATCATCGCGGACAGCTTCGTTTCAAGTGATGAAATGTGTCACTTTGACAAACATTTTCCAAAGATGATGAAGACTGGATGACCAAAGCGTACCAAACCTTAGATACAGTCTCGGATTGGAGGACATCCGATTTTTTTTTTTTGGGAGGACTTCCGCCGCCCTTCAAGCCATCCGACAACCCCCAGGCTGTCGGGGATAGCGCCACCACCTTGGCCTCACGACAGGTCGAACTGGGGCGTGGGTTCTCCTCCTTTTTTGGGCTGGCGAATCATATGACAACATGGTGACAGTTGCCCAACGGAAATAAGGGTCTAAGCAGCAACAAGTGGGGTTTCACCAACAGAAATGGTCTGCTAAACCAAAGTAACCAGCAGAAGTTGATATTTTGATCACCAAGAATCGATTTTGAAGGACAATAAACACCCATGGTAATAATACAAGAAAAATGTGGTTTAGCTTTGGGCCAAGGAACAACATGTCCTAATCAACACATACGATGATTGACCTACAAATGCTGAGGACGTCGAAAATAATCATAAGTTTGATAGCTACGAAGGAGACAACCTCACCATTTATGGTATGCCAAGCCCAAATGAGACAGGACACACATTCAGAGCTGGTCACGTGTTAACGTCCGTCCGATGCTAATTCCTGGTTTACCAAGTGATTCTAATGTTAAAGGTAGGACATGCAGAGTTGTCCATCCATTTTCCCGAAGAATCACGGCACTGATATTTTTTCGAAACACCACTTCATGTTGGATGGTTGGATTGGGGGTTGACCATCCCAAAAGGGATTCCTTGAGCTGAAATCAACAAAAAGTGATGCACTATTATGCCACTTATTCTTGGGATGAATTTATTATCCCCAATTCCACTTCTCTCCGTAGTTTCATATCCATATTGGGGGTCAATAATTTTGACCCATACCCATACCTCAAGTCGGGGTTTGTTGGTTTGATACCAAACAATGGATGGCTTAATATACTGAACATGCTCCCACAATCATGTTGACCATAAAATGAGGGGTATTTGATATCCAGTGTCCTTGCTTCAAGATTAAAAGCAAGTGGCCATAATTTTCATACCAGAAATTTTCTTGGGGTATGGGGCATAAATTGAGGATAAATCCACCCAACTTGTGGATCAAGCGAAATATCAAACCAAACGAAATTAAAGCACCAAGAATTTCAGGGTCGCTGCCCATTCAGTAGTCATGAGGACATCCCATTAGATGGGCTAAAGAATCCCAGGACCGTATCTGAACCAGATATTACCCCAAAGATCTGGTAATAATTGGATAATATGGTAATAATACCAGATATTACCAGATATGACCATTATTGTTGATGTCCCAAATTCCCATTGGTTGATGAACAAAGAGGGCTTACAATTTTAGCTCCATTTCAACAACAGCTAAAAGATGATCAATTGTATACCAAGCGAGACGCTATACTTTTCAATTTTCAGGAAATGGTTGAACAATTCCGGGGGACACATATTTTGATATTTTGTCCATATTGAGACATTTTGTGTATACATTTAGTCCTTGCAAGTTTTCCACATACCTCTATGGATATATTACGGATACCAACCAAAACGGATATTTGAAATGGATAAACTTAGCAAACACATCCACAAATGGATTATCCATTTTCATCCATTTTCTATTTAGGATCTTAAATCAAAAACCAACCCACAAATGGAGAACGACAAAAGTGAGAATCAGTCCATTTTTTAAATCCATTTCTTTTATCAATTACAATGGCTGAAAATTCATCTTCAATTTTCGGACAAACAGCTCCATTGATTTTAAAAAATCCATTGATCCATAATAAAATCCATTGATTCCTATGTAAAAATCCATTGATTCCTATAAAATCCCAATGTTTTTGGAAAACTTGACCCATTTTCAGCTCATCCCAGGGCATTGGCACCTCTACGTCCCTGGACGCCTGGCTTCCGCACGCGGGATCGGTGCGGGCCACCCGTTCCGACGGAGGAGTTGGGGGATTTCGTTGGGAAATGTTGGGAAAACCCAATGTATCATGATTATTCATGATTTGTGTTGGGAAAAAGATCGAAACTCCCCAATGTCTCATGATTTTATCACGATTTGTGCGGATTAGACCAATTTCTTTCTTTTTGGGCATTCCTATAGCCAAAAATCATTGGGGATGGATTTTAGAATCTATTATATAGAATCTAATGAACATGGGGATTGACACCCAGAAAAAGTGGGGGAATGATGCCCAGAAATGGCGACGTCTGGTTTCTTCTCAACGATTGAGTCATTGGCTTGTGGTTCCCACAATACTTGTTTAGCACCAACTTAACCAAGAACTCAACCAGCTTCACCAACTTCATGGTTTCTGGGTTTACCACGTCACAACAGTCCCTTGTTTCCAACGGCAGGGAGACTTGACTGCGCAGCATCTTGGCCTGGTGATGCTGGGTGGAGGAACCTCCTGAGGTTTCATTTCCACGTCCTACTGCGGGGTTGCTAAGCATATTGACATATACTGAAAATACGTATAGATATCATAATAGATATCATATATGGGATTCGTAGAGTATATGATATGTATATATACATATATATATATGTATACATGATTGATATACATTGAGTATATGTATATATGGTTCATGATTTTGATTGATCAGCATACTTCTATATACATACATAGTATGTGGGAAGAACATTTAAGACCATGGTTTATCACATCCAAGATAATCCAAGCATGAATAGAGAAGTCTGAAGTGGAATTTCTCAGTTTGTTAAGCGTGTGCTACGATCGTCCGCGATTCATAGAGGTTTGTTTGGTAGATGTCCCATCTATGTTTCATGAGAGTTTCATTTGTGACTTTGGGGTCTTAAAAAATCCCACATTTGTAGACTCGTAAAGACCAGCCTGAATTCATGAGCCTTTGCTATGTAGCCCTGGGGGACTGGAACCGGTCCTTGCAAGATAAACTCAATGGGAGGATGCTTTCCCTCTCAAAATAGACCATGACATCCTGACCGTGATGGGATCCTCAATGGAAATGGCCATGTCTTCGTGATCGAGTCACCAGGGTCAGTCTTCATTTGTGAACATCACCGGCACTGCGTTGCTGACGTCCGCATGGGTCGGGAAGGTCTCCCTTTCTGGTACACCAATCTTCAGTCACCATTCGTGATGATTTTTTCTGTTTCAAAACATGCAGAGTAAAACTCTGTTCTTGATTGTTGGCATTCGGTCTGAAAAAAAACACTATCATTACAGACATCCAGTGGATAAAACATCATTTTCCTCTGTAAACGGCCATATGGGGTATCCCTCTGTTGCTGTATTAAATCTACCGTTATATCTCATGATACTGTTGTTGGTAAAAAATGGTAAAACTATAAACATGTCCCAAAAATCATCATTAACATCATTGGCTGGTTATTGTCATCATTAACCATTTTATCTGATAAGTTGGTTGGCTAAAGCATCGATTTCCGTAGCATCCTGCCATCCAAGGATGCGACGTACGCGATCCTTGCCCGCCTCAGCGTTGGTCCAGGGCCCTTGACTCAGGAGTAATGTGGTAAACTGTGGTACCCTCTGGTTTCATCAAACGCGGCATCGAAAATCCACTATAAATGGTGCGAACAAATGGAAAACATATGAACAAATCATCTATAAATGCCTTGCCATGTTTGATTACTAGAGGGTAAAGCCAAGAATAACCTGGTATCTAAGACCCATTTCTGGTAAAAATTGGGGATGCTTCATTATTGGGATTTACCATAGTAGAATTTTTCAAGTGCTCCACATGCTTCATATTCTCGGAGAATCCCAGGATCCACAACGATCTGGATATCATTGGTCATACCTGACCTCTAGGTTTGAATGGGGTGAACTCTGCCAATTGGAATTAGGAGGGCCCATGGTAGTCAAGTGATGACAATCTGTTGGCCACGAAATTGGAGATCTTTTTGTGGATGTTTAAGGAGAAATAGCTGGCAGCCGCGATCTCCAAATCAAGCCTGCTACCAAAACATGATTCTGTTGGAGTGTGAACATGGATGCTAGAATTATATAGGACCTAGCAGTCCCCTCAAGAAACTCCACAACCACAAGAGTCATCCACGTCAAAAATATAAGGACTTCCCAGGACTTGTCACACACATTTCTTGTCTTAACATATGATGCTCTGATCATCCTCGGCACCTCATCAAAATTGAACATCCCTTATTTTCATGACATTTCCGCAGAATGTAATCTATTTCAGAAAACATACCCAAAGTACATACCGAAGCTGGGTCTGTGGACAACCACCGCGTGCCATGTTTCGATGTTTTATTTTTCTGGATGAAATCCATATCTATCATTTCTACATTTTCTGACCAGGCAAAGCCGATGAACTCGTCATTTTGATGGCCGAAATCCCATGATTACCATGATTTTTTGCTCAACTTCCCCCATTCTGTGGTGAACTCCCCCATTATGCGCCTGACGCAAGGCGCACAAGGAACCACAGCGGCCACGGAAAGAAGTAGCAGATCTCGGGCGCCTCAATTGGTGCCTTGATGGCATCGTTTTGGATGACACTGTAGAATCTTCAGACAGGGGATTCATAGCCCAAAATTTTTGGGCAAAGTTTTCATCAGATCCCAGCTTTCAGAGGGATGATCCACGAAGTGCAACTAGAGTAATTTTGGTGGTGTGAAAACTCAGAGTTTCCCAGGTTGGGAAGAGAATTCTGTGACTCTGTGACTGAATTTGAGATGGGTTTGGGCAAAAGTTAAACAGTGAATTGGTAAATGACCACTTTTTCAAACCTGGCATTCCAACATGGGAACGGAAGGGCGCCGTGGGAAATTAGACCTCCTGATTCCACCCAAGTTTGGAGGTCAGAAATCCCACATCAAATTTACCCTCTGGTAATTTAACATAGCTATTGAAAATGGCCATTTATAGTGGATTTTCCCATTAAAAATGGTGATTTTCCATAGTTATGTTAAATTACCAGAGGGTAAGGCTCATTTCATCTTAATTCATCTTGTTTCTTTTCAGCCAGAGGTCATGAAATTTAAGGCTCACTTCAAATTTACCTAATTTACCACGTAATCAAACATGACGGAAATCCCCCCGAAAGAACGGCAAACAAAAAGGTAGGAACATCATCGTGAAGTTATCATGGGGAGTGTCCCACTATGGTCCCATCGAATCCAGTTTTTTTGATGCCAAAATCACCAAAGATGGGTGCTATAAAGAATTTCTAAATGCTAGGTCTATTTAGTTGGGTTGCCAGCATTTTTCTGTAGACTTTTCAGAAAATTCACTCAAGTGACATGAAATCGATTATAATCCCATCATAGCCAATTGTAATCCTTATAATCCCATTATAATCATTTATATTTTATGATAATCCCATTAAAACATCTGCTATAATCCTGAAAAAAATCCAATGTCCTATACCATGCTCTTAATCCAGATATACATATAATTATAATCCTTATACCATGCTCTTAATATCCCTTTTATTTAGGCTGTTTTACATATCACTCATGCCTTGATGGCACGGCACTAGGTACTGGACTTCGGTCCCAGTGGCAGCTCGGAGGTGAGTTTTGTGCCAGCTGGTCACTTAAAAATGCCAGATTTTGGCATCACATGGGAATGGATCAATACCTATTAATACCATTTTTAGTGGGATGAACATCCATTTACCAGCTATTTTGATGTTCACCAGGGGTACAGGGTTTTGACCCATCCCCATATGTTTTTTGATATGGGATATATCATTGGTCAAGAAATGGTATAACTAATGTATAACTTATATGGCATGGCATCATGTCTATTTTTAACCAAAGTTGGTAGATTTAGGCAAGAGTCATGGGACATCACTGATTATTTACCTACCGATGAATGATCGGTAGTTGATGGTTGCTGAGGTTGATGGTTGATCTGTCTGATTTTTTTTCGGGTACACATCTCACATGACATGGCCATTTGAATAGGGAAAAAAGATGGGATTTTTGTTGATTGATCATTGGATTTATGGTAGCCGATTTTTAGACAAAGCCAACATTACCGGTCTTTAAGCAGTAACACATGGAATTTGGCTACCGATGAATGATGGGTAGTTGATGGTTGATGACTTCTTTGTAAAGGTTCTACTGCCCAGTTTATTGGGAGGTATTCTGACCCGCTATGGGAACCCGTATGAACTCGTACAAAGGGATGACAGAGGGTCGTGAAGACTTCTCATGTGAATAACAATGGCAGACTCTCACACACACACAGAAATGGGGTACAACTGCTACCTAGCAACCAACGTGGGGAACACCCCCAGAGATGATTTTTGGATATGTGCGACCGTTTCTTTGCGACCTGATTCGCGACTAGTCGACCTATAAACTGTGCTTGAAATATGAATTGGAAGTCGTCAGCTGGATCTGGTGGAGTGAGCATACCCTTGGAAAATCATCATTTTTTAAATTATCTATTTCTATGGGCCATGGCTTCCGATGATTTGCATCAGAATTTCTCCCACTCCGATCAACGCAAAGCACAAAGCCCCAGTTAGTCTCGTTTCCTAGAAAACAACTGGGATGTGGGACACACAAGATTTGATATTTGTTGAATGCATGAATTTAGCGAATATTGAACCTCAGAAAGGATAGATTTCTCAATATCAATCCAGAAGAGAGACATTTATTTCACACCTTCGCATTGTACTATTGACGTTTATCTCATTTTGATTGGTGGTTTAGTGGTTTCCGAAAACGTTGATTTTTGGATACCTCAAAAAAAAATAGCTGGGCTTTCATACTTTTGGGATGGGTAGCAAAAAGCCACTAACTAGTGTTCTTCTTGTTGGTGGTTTGGAACATGGCACATGGCTTTTATTTTTCCATTCAGTTGGGAATTTTATCATCCCAACTGACGAACTCATATTTTTCAGAGGGGTAGGTCAACCACCAACCAGTCTTGATTGATGAACCCACACCTATCATTGCTCATCAAGACGTGTCTCTGGACCTTTTCCGCCTTTGCTGGGTAAAGCCGCAGAAAGTTCCCCCATTTTTTGCTGGGTAAATCCACCTTTCCCATGGTGAAATCCATAGTAGGTGAATTCCCAAATGTTTTGTGCCCTGAAATTCTGAACCCCCATCTTCGTGCTGGGTAAATCCATATTTTTGATCGTTTAAACGGTAAAACTTTACATATATATATATTATATTGTTGGGTAAATCGTCATTTTTGCGACTGAAAAATCCATGGTTTTTGATGGTAAGACCTCCATTTTCCTACTTAAATCCATGTTTTTGATTGTTAAAACCTCCATTTTTGCTGGTTAGTTCCTTAATTTTATGTTTTCCCCAACAAGCGCAGAGCGCAGGACGACCGGGCGCGCACCGCCCAGCTGCGACCTCAACTGCTGCAACCTGTGCCACGAGAAGAGGTGCTTTTGGCTGCGATTCGTGGGGAAAATGGGGTAATGTGGGTATGGATCAATACCTATAGATACATTTTTAGTGGGATGAACATCCATTTACCAGCTATTTTGGGGTTCACTAGGTACCAGGGTTTTGACCCATCCCCATGCGGGTAAAACAATCACAAACCACCCATTTGGGAATGGTTTATACCAGCTATAAAAATGGTGATGATGGGGGAAGGGTTTATGAAATGGTTTTATACGGTATACTGATATCGATACCGCTCATATCATGGGGATTTCGCCAATCCCGAGTGTGGTGATCCCCAATAATGTTTGGGTTATCAGGAAAGGGCCAGTTGGATTACCAGTCAGCCAATGATTAGAATCCAGAGTGAACTAGTTCGATGGAGCTATAGGAACGACAACGAAGCTTGGGTGTGTTTCATGGCTGGATTTATCTTCTGAAGCAGTTTCACGGGGGACCAAAACTGGTGATATAAGGAAGAAACATGCGTGTCTAAGCATTTTCGCCGACAAGCATGCACTGATAAGAAACGAGTGATCAGGAGAGCAGGCAAACTGCATTGATTCATATCAATGTGTGCATAAGCAACAGACATGCAAGCAAAAACTAGCAAACAAACAACCAAACAAGCAAAGAAAAAACGGTGAGGAGCCCCTGAATCGTGTAAACATCTGTAAACACATCATTGATAGATTATTTTTTTTGGCTGAATTCTTAGATCTTTATGTCCCACCATTGGCGTCCAAGAATGGGAATTCATGGGTGACTGTTTTTTTTTTGGAAGTCCCAAATGATGATATCAACGTCCAGCTTTCAATGGTTGGCCCAGTGACGACATATTTCTGTCTGAATGGTGAAATACTGGCAGTTCTACCCAGATCCAGAGATGGGTGACATCACTGGCTTGGCGGGTTTCATCTGATCACATGTCACATTCGTTTGATCCTTGCCAGTCTCCTCATGTCTCCTCACCATTTGGGCCGTGCCCATCTTCGAACGCGCAGGCGCCCACGCTGCCGTCGCAGGGCAGCTGTCTGCAGTGCGGCGATGTCTTCATGGGCGATGCCAACTTCTGCCGGAAGCGCCGTGGTGAAACGACGGGACCCGTGAAGGGGTGGAAATTGTTGGGATTGGATGGGGATAGCCCAGGCTTTCCCCAATAGTCATAGTCAGCATCCCTCAAAAAAGATGTTCATCAATTAATTCCATACCCTGTTCATATCAGTTACACCCCCATTCTATGGTCCCAGTCATATGTGTTTTTATCATTTTTTGTTCCCTGCTTTTTACCATGGTGTATGGGGGGAGGTTAATATGAACGGGGGAAGGAATCATTGGGTATAACTGACTGTATAACCATACTGGGATGCACCGGGTTTGTCCAAAGCTGATGTTTTTCAGGCAAACATGAGAATACTATGACTATATTATGAGATAAACTAATAGTAATTGGGAAAAAATCATAAACATAAATAGCATACTATTACTATATTATTTCAGGCAAAATACCAATACTATTATGAGATAAAACCAACTTGGGGGAACCCTATGGGTGTTCCAGTCAAGGATTTGCATATGGTGACAAATAATGGACATTTATAACCAGCAAAAGTAATGGGGATATGATGGGATATGATGGAAATTGATAGAACATGGGGTTTCCAGAAAAAGTGAGCGATCCTAAATGATCATCCAAGTTATCGGCAATTTTTGATAAAATAAGGACCGGGTTTGAGGCTTCCCCAATGAAGCACGCATGTGAGTGGCCTTCGTTTTACTTTTTGATGATTTGTGGAGATTGGACATACTTCTGGCGGAATCTACTTGTAGCTTCTGGGTTGTGCCATTTGGGAGGTGTTATAGACAATTAAGAACGAATGGGTTCATGATTCGTTGATTGGATAGCAGCAAACAAAAGGTATACAGTATACAACAACTCAATTTGAGGATAGATGTCCTTTTTACTACTTGGTGAGGAAAGATGTTCAATTAAGGCCCGCAGCTCTTTTCCAAGTTTTTTTTTTGGTAACCCTTCCAGTTGCCATGATGTAACCCAGAAGGTATGGCCGCCAAGGGTCTATTGGTACCATTGGGGGTGGGGTTTGGAGGTTATGTACTGGATTTATTGTTGCTGAAGGAACCATAACTTTTGTCATAGTTGGTGTTGAGCCAATTCTTTGGCGAATCCCACCATCCAAATTCTTTGTTGAGATTAATCGGTTAATCAGAAATTTCATCGTACCAATAATTCTTGAAATCAAGGTAATTTGAATCCCCAAGAATACCCTCTGGTAATTTAACATAGCTATTGAAAATGGCCATTAATAGTGGATTTTCCCATTAAAAATGGTGATTTTCATTAGCTATGTTAAATTACCAGAGGGTAAGAATTCCTACTCATCCGCCAGATTCTTTTCGATTCGAACTATTTGTGTCGCAATGTTTTGTCCAACTATCGGTTCTCCATGTCTCTGGGAGAATTAGAAAGACCTCCCGCCGGCATCGCTGTAAATCATGATTCATTAAGAGAAATAGTTCTTCAAATCATTTTGAAAATAAATTTCCAACATTTCTGTGAATGATGATTTGTTTGAACCGCTTATGGTTTCATTTCATTCCACATGCCTGAGACATTGACAGAAGAAATCAGGTGTGGAAGGCCTCGCGAGGCGCTGACGGAAATGGTATGGGCAACCAAGCTGGGTGGTAAAAACATCAAATCCACGGGTGAATGCTAGGAAACAAGTTGAATACTTGTTGAATTTTTAGCACATGGTCAGCTGCAGCTTTCACTTATTTTTTTTTTCGGGAACTTGATTCACTTGATGCAAATGGTTTTACCATGGTTTTACCAGCACCTTTACTTAGCGCTGACAGCGGCACCATATGGGGACACCTTCAATGGGAAGAGGCGATGATCCCAGGAATGGGACCATGGGACCGTGCCGGAACTGGTGCTGATAGGCTAATAGCTTAATTTGAAAGTCCCTTAAAAATCGCAGCAAATAGAGACACAACAGTCACATTAAAAAAAGAGGAGGTGCTAGTTTTCTTCTATTTGTTTTGTGGGCTGATGACTAGTAAACTTAGGTGGGTCAATGTCTGATTATTTTGCTATCACTGGCGGGCAATTTCATAGGGAGCTGAAAAAATCGATCTCTAATTTGACTGGAATCTAAGATTGTCAGCCGATGATTTTCAGTATAGAAAATGATCTTTGATGATTGCCCAAACCATGAGTTCACTCATCAGCTCCGTATAGAAACTTGCCTGCCAATTAGATTGTCCATGAGTGAACTCATGGTTTGGGCACCAGTATATAACTTACATAACTATTCCAGGCACGTTGGATGGACCGCTTATTCTGCTAGATTTTGCTTTGGACCATCTATATAACTCGACTCTTTTGACATGTCCAAAGGCGTCCCTTTTGGAGGGCATGAAACAACAGCTCAAATGATGGGAGCATCACGCACAACTTGTTATAAACCCTCGAAACAACGCACAACTTGTGATGGACAAAATACCAGGACTTTGAGCAAGACTAAGATGGTTTCATGTCCAATTGAGGGATGCATCCCAGCATCGTAAGTGGTAACAACAACAATATACAGGCAGGCAACACCCCTGCCATATATGGAATCTTCCCATTTACATACGGGTTATATATATATGTTATGTTCTGCCTGGGGCCCACGCAGAAGTTATCACAGGTGCCCCAGTCCGATCGCTTCAACGCCGGTCGACGGAGTGACCTGTGAGGGTGATGGGGTCCGTGATGGTGATGTCCCAAGCAGATGAAGTGGGAAAGAAGTGGGGTGAAGCCACTGTTGTTGTTGTTGTTGTTGTGGTCGTCGTCGTCGTCGTCGTCGTCGTCGTGGTTGTGATTGCTGTTACTGTTACTGTTACTGTAAGTGCTGTCGTAGATAGATAGATAGATAGATAGACAGATAGACAGATAGACAGATAGACAGATAGACAGATAGACAGATAGACAGATAGACAGATAGACAGATAGACAGATAGACAGATAGACAGATAGACAGATAGACAGATAGACAGATAGATAGATAGATAGATAGATAGACGAAACTGTTTTCACTGGGTGGCTTGAAGAAAATCACCTTTGGTCACCTGACTTTTGAAAAATCCCGCCCTTTGAAAATGAAGATGACACCTAAAAAAGGCGGGTTCCATTAGAACCAGATTCCTGGGGTCGATCCATTCCCACTATCGCAAGGTACAGCCGCGCTGGCCAACATCTCCTCCGGCAGTGGGGCTGAAATTTCGCGGAGGCTGGGAACTTGGATAGCTTGGATAGCTTGGATCTTGCGGCCAAAAGGTGGAACAACAGAATTTGATACCAATGGTTTGCGAACATGGAACATGTGATTAGAAGAGTATGATTTGATCTTACTTGGATTTGAGAGTGATTGGGGTTTGCATTGAAGATGAACATGTGTTTTATTAGGTGTTGATTCATTTTGGGATGATCGAACATGCGAATTCCGGGAAAACCGGGGGCACAGAAATTGCATAGGCTCTAAACACCTAGCAACTTATTAGTACTCTTTTGCACTGCACCATCCAATTCACAAGGCTCCGCCATTTGAACCATGGCAAAATGAAGCCGCTTGGTGCTTTCATTTTTTCCCTATCACTGGATGATGATTCCTAACAATTCTTGTATTATTGAGGGAGATGGCTCAACCACCAATGGATTTTGGGTCCATATTCCCAACTAGATCGCGCCATATAGCGCTCAATAATATGACACAACTATTTTGGTTGACAACCCCTCATATATGCGTCATGTTGTCAGTCAAATCATGATTTTCGTTTCACCCACTTTTCGTGGCCAAGAAAAATACACGTTCCTAGTAAGGGAAAACCTTCATTCTCGCTGAAGTTGTGCAGCCTCTCAGCTCGACAGAGTGTCAGGGTGAAGCTTGCCCCAAATCTTCACGTTTTTGGGAAGTCTTACTGTACATTGACCCGCTTGGATGGGCCATGAGTGTTAACTCTCAACTAGTGAACTAGTGCAAGTGTGTTCGGAAGTTGGTGAAAGGTCTCTGGTTTCACAGATTTTCCCTCCAAAACATCACCAAAAACATGGGACTTTTACATACTTTGACCATTATTTCACTATTTCACCACCATATCAAGTCGCTGTTAATCCCATGGGGAAACAGCGCTGAGCCCCATCACCTCGGGCATCGAAGGCGAGGATCCTCTCAGCGACATTCATTGCCCGGGCCCCGGGTTGAAGCTATGGACGAGTAAAATATGAATGGTATATGATATGGGTGGAAGATGCCATGGAAGATTATTATTTGTATTTATTTGTTATGATGATCAAAAGATCAATATGTCTAGTTTCTTTTTCCCGTAATGCACCCATGATGAGTACAGTATAACATGGAAGATGAGCTATATAATTATTACCAAATTATCATAACATTGCCTAATCTAGGCCCATTGTGAAGATTTAGACAATGGCATAGGTGTTGCTTGTGAACCGCTCATTTCTCCAAGCCGGGTGTTCACTTCAGGTGCAGCAAGTTAAATCCAAGATCAGCCTTCGTCTTTCAATCCCAATGGAGGCTGCTTTGGGGATTGCTTCACCTGAGGTGATTACCCTCTGGTAAATTAACATAACTATGGAAAATCACCATTTTCAATGGGAAAATCCACTATACATGGCCATTTTCAATAGCTATGTTAAATTACCAGAGGGTAGATGAAAATGACTGAACAATGGAGAAACCCGCCACCTCTAGACTTGGCCTTCTAGATGTGTTTTTTTTGGGGACAGAAAAAGAATCGCAGCAGTACCCCCAGGGACTAGTTCAATGAGCACTATTCGTTCAGAATCAAAATCGGCCAGTCAAATAGACCAAGGGGTCTGGGGGTGTAGCTGCCATGAATGTATGAGAAACTTGGTTTGATGCCTGGATGTTGAACCACTTGTTTCATATGCATTTTCCTAGTTTTGTCTGTGGAAAATTCCAGGGTGAATGTGGTATTTGCATGTATTTGCTGGGTTCAAAAGGCAAGCCCCCACAGACTCAAGCGGGTTCCTATTGACATCTATTGACTCATTGACTCCGGCAATCAGACATGGCAATGAAAAAAATGTACCATTAAAACAGATGATTTTCCCATTAAAGTCATTAAAACCTCCGTTTATAGATTGTTTGGGGATTTCCCATGGATTGCCATGTTTTGCTGAGGCCAAATGCTCCGTCAGCCAGCGAGGCCTGGGTAGAACAAAGGGTAACGGAACGTGACAAATTTATGACATCGAATTTAAAGTGGAACTCCACCAAAAATCACCTTATCTTCGGTTTCACATTGCTGTATTCATTGTACAACAACTATTATTCTTATTATTAGTGATTATTATTATTAGTAGTATTTATTATTTTTATTGTTGTGGTGTTTGGCATTCGTTATTGTTATTATTGTTCTTGCACCACGATATCATCGTTGTGGTGATGATGATGATGATGATGATGATGACGATGATGATGATGATGACGATGATGATGATGATGATGATGATTATGCTGCTGCCACTGATGCTGATGATGATGATGATTATGATGATGATGATGATGATGCTGGTGGTGGTGGTGATGATGACGATGAGGATTTTCAGTTATCATGATTATTGTTATCATTACCATTCAGCGAGATATAATGATCTGCAGATATGCCCTGGGGTCAGAAGTGGGGACAAGTGCCACTACGATGACTTGCTGTGAAGACAACATGACATGTTTGTTTTAGCTGTGGAAATAGTGGAAATCCATGGGGATACTAGCCATGGTACGGTCTAATTTTTTCCGACCAAAGTACTCAAGCCCTCCAAACGCCAAACTTTTCCCAGGCATTTTTTTCTGTGACCGAAGAATCACTCCGGAGAATCACTTTACCCTCTGGTAATTTAACATAGCTATGGAAAATCACCATTTTTAATGGGTAAATCCACTATAAATGGCCATTTTCAATAGCTATGTTAAATTACCAGAGGGTAAGTGGCATACTCGGGATGATTGGAATGACCTTTGGGCCACTAGCACCGATTCTCGGCCATTTGGATCACCACCAGTTCCCAGAGCAGATGGCTCTCCTGCTAGATCCAACCAACTCACCTCGTGGATCCATATTTCTCAGGGATCCTTTCAATACATGGAAGTCATTGTTGGAAAGTAAAAGATCCCCCAATAAAACCCAAACAACAGCGAATTTGCACCATCAAAACATGGGTGAACTCTCAAAATTTCTGGTTTCGCAGGATGAGATGACGCTGGATCCTGAAGTGCTGAAGGCACTGAGCTGGTCGCATAAAGATGGGATGAGTTTTCCCAACAGAAGAGCGCTTACAGATTTCATATAGCTATGGAAAAGGCCCATTTAGTTGGATGATTTCGTGAAACATGGCAATTTTTCCAAGATATGTGAGATTACCAGAGGGTAAGCAACCCAAAGCAGATTGCACCAACAAAGCTACGAGAATTTCCAAAATAAATCGATGAACATTTGTTGATATGGGTATGAGCGGCATGTGCAAAATGTTTTTACACCCAAACCGACAGATTGACTATTTGTTTGGTAGTAAGATGGTGCAGGCAACGTCAAACAAGATGGGTTTTGGAAGCAATTCTAAGCTTCCTCCAAGTTTGGACACAGCACATGAGTGCCTGTTGTTCTTTGGTCTTTCTTGGATCAAACTTTGATGATCGAACTTGACAGCCCAGAGATTTTGGTCAACAGAAATGCACCCCTGAAATGCAGTGCTCCAAAGTTTGAAGCTGGTTGTTTCGGAATAGGTCACCATTTTGTGACCCAAAATAGTCTTTTTCGTTTTTTAAATCAACACATACACACATCACTGATCAATCATCATAATAAGAATTATAAGTTCGGGTTTCATTTTTTGCGACCAAACAACGACAAAAAACATCCGTGGTTGGTGCCGTCAAGACGTTTGAATCAGCAGCAGTCCGACTGTGGGGCGTCGGCAGGTGAGCTCTCGCAAGAAGAGCGCCAGCAGGTGGAGCTTTAGATGGGAGGATGGTTACAGTAAATAATGATAATGGTAATAGTAATACCATCAGGGATTTAATAGTAATATATAACCACGATAGTTTGGTGAATAATTGTAATCAACAATTATAATGGTAATAGCAATAACTATCATGGGAATAGCAATATCTATAATGGTACTAGTAATTGAAGTTACTCCAACTTCAATAAGTACAATGGTAATAGTGATAACTCTGATAATGAGGGTTTGATGATGGTTAGTTACTAACAACCATTATCGTTATTTCTATGGTTTCTTCTTCTTCTTCTTCTATTTTTTAAAAGCCAGTATATATATATATATAAATCTTGGTGAAACATTGGTGAATGCTTCATGTTTCTTTTTAATCCATCAACAAAGGAATATTTTGTTTCATCCTTCTCAAAGAATGATCGATTCTGTTTCATCAGGGTGAACTGTTCAGTCTCCATGGTGGCGTAAGTTGGTCAGCGGATGCGATGAAAAAAGCTCTGGATGGCTCTGTTGGTAAGGCACCTTTGAAAAAAGGTCTTTGGGAACACCTTGGTTTGTGCTTAAATTTCCGGAGACGATCCATTCGCATGATGGACATGGCATTCTGATTGAGATTCGATCAGCCATTCCCTTCGCACTATGAAAAACGAAGCCTTTTCAAAGCCACCTTGGCTGATCTATTCATTCTCCAGTGCTGGATCCACTGCATTGGTTGGGTTACCCTCTGAAAGATTTTTCCAGCTATAAACCTCCAGCAATGGGGATTCCAATTGCCTTTGATGACACTGGAGGGTAGTTGATTTCAAACTTTAGCAACAATTGGAACCCATTCAGAAATCAGCACGGATCAATGGTGTGGACTTTCCGTGTGGACTCAGGAAAACACATGTCATTTTCAGGTCATTTTCAGGTCATTTCTAACGTGGGTTGTACCTCAAGCGACCTGAAAATCCCCTTCGTGACCCGTCCGGATCTGCCGGGGTCAGTCGTGAGGAGCTCCTCCAAGCGACTCATCGAGGAGGGTGGGTTTTTCATGACATTTCTGGGGATGTTAAACATGATCATAAATCATCCTTATTAATGGGAAAATCCACTATATTAATGGGAAAACATGTGTTAAACATGTGTTAAACATGTGTTAAACAATGATCATGGCCGGCACATCCACTCCACTGGGCTTGTTGAACAAGAGAAATTTGGGGATGTGAAAAACCATGATTATCCATGATTCCTGGGTACTTGAGACAGACTGTGCCAAAAGATCCAAGTTGCCAGGCCAGTAGTCTGGTGACCCAGAGCCTTCAGGGGTTGAGGGATCAGATCTGGGCGAAATGTTGAGAACCCCAAAATCCTGAATTTTTGTGCATTTTTACCAAGAGCACCATGCTACTTTTTGGAGTGCCCCAAGTTTGGGCATTGCCACACTGGATTCTAGAAGTGGGCACAGCCAATATGTGGGAATTCTCATCGGAAAAATGATGTTGGAATCTCTTTGGAATTTAGGGGTACATTCTCGAACACACCTATATTTGCAAAGGGGGGCTATATGAAACTTATATGGGGATTTCCAATAGGGATACATCCGTAGTTCTTTTTTGGGAGGCTCCAAGGTGATTTTCCATGGGTGGTTTTTACCAATTGGAATCTACAATTGTGCGGGAGACCCATCGGTTCTGAGTTTTTTTCACCATTCAAATCTGGGATTTCTTACAAAAACCTAGACATTTGTGGAGCTTCTGCAACTTCATTGCTTCACTGCTTCACACAAAAAAACATGAGATTGATGATTGAGTAGTGGTTCCTGAGGAATTTTGCACCGCAATGCCGGGCACTTTTTGCCCAGGAGTAGTGCCCGTTGAAAGGGTGTAACAGATTCAGAAAAAAGGGCCAACCAGAGCAACGGCTGGTGATTTTGACTAGATCCTCTGCCGAAGTCCAGAATTTTAGCGAGAATACTTCCGATATTTCCTGGTAGCTGCAGCCCAATCATTGCTTTCAAGCTATGGTGAGGTGAAGAAAAGCGGCGGATCTCCGATGAGGTGCGATGAAAACTGATGGTTTACTTCGGCCCAAAATTGATGCCTCCAAGCTGAAAGGAAAATGCGGACATCAAATGGTGGGAAGCAGGACTTGGATTTTGGATGATTTTGGTCATTCTGAGCCAAAGTTTGTCACATTTGAGGATTTTAGACATCACCTTTGGATTGATAAAGAAGGTTTTCGGGTTGTTTTGGAGTCCTGGAGGAGTTCCCTAACTTAGTCTAGTTGGAGAGCAGTCTCACACCACACATTGAAGATGGCAGCAATTTTGAAGATGGACACTGTAGGGAATGGTGACCCTGCCCCATCTTTATTTCGGACGTGCTATGTTTTCTTGTGGATTCCCAGTACTTTGTTCCTCACCGACTGCGATTTGTGCCCAAAACGACATTTTCCGGCGCATCCAGGGAGATTTATCCCCTGCTCGGGAAAAACCATGGAAAGACCATGTCGACGTGAAAAAAATCACCATAAAAAAAGGAATAAATATGGAGGATACGAGCCGATGGTGAATCATGGTGAATCCGAAAAATCATATGTGTATTATATAAACTTATATAAACTTATGCCCTTCAGGTATTCACCACTATTGCCCCAGTTTTACCATGTTTTACCTGTTGAAATCCTCCAGACAACTAACAGTTTTGCCTCCCTTCCAGGCGGCACTTGAGAAACTCCAGCTGAAGGCAAACTGGGACGAGAACCTGGAGAAACATCTGGATTGGATGTTGATGATTTACATTCAATCAATTTTAACTATGATGATGGTTGAATGGAAATCATCATCATCATCATCATCATCACCATCACCATCACCATCACCATCACTAGTATTGTGTTTGTTATTATCATTCGTTTTCATTCGTATTGTTATTATATGTTCGTCATTGGCGTATGGCGTATGGCGTAAATTTTTGTCCTTGGTATCCCAGTTGGATGGATCAATACCTAGCACCGATGAACATGATTGCAGGGTAGTAAGGTCAGTTGAACCATAGCCAAATGGCAAAATGAGATCGGGACTATCATGCTTTTGTATAGAAATATCCCATCTCAGCCATAGATGTCCTTTTCCGACTGGTTGGTTTATTGAGGGTTCGCCCCTTGAAAACAACCAATAGGTAGATGATGATAAATAACATTAAATAACATAGCAAACCGGCTCCTCTATTAATAGCTGGAGTTGGGATGCATTGATTCCAAGACATTGATGACTTTTTGGCTGGCTCTTGACCCGTGAAACGTACGGGTTTTTGCCAAATGAGTTACTTTGAATTGCTAGGTTTATTGACATGCCTGGTGTCCCTGACTTCCTTGAGTTCAGTGGGCTTCACATATAGCGATTTCAGCAGCAAATTTGGGTATGATTTCACGAACCATCAGTGGAACAACCTTCGCGAACCTAATGACTTGATCTAGGGGTGATTGGGGGGCCGGATTTTATGGAGAACCCTGATCTTTATCATCCGCTTGCGTGGGTCCTGAAAATATGGAAACATGAGTAAAGAGGGTTACGATGTACGTGATGGGCCAAGAACACAATTTCTACATTTGGCGGGTATACTCCGCAGATTACTGGGTTTTTCACATAGAACTGAGTGGGTTCGCGCAGTCTTGGGTGTATCACCAGCAAGAAAACAGGACATGGAACCCGCGCTTTTCCAGTAATAGATTTACAACCCCACTGGCCCACTGGTGCATTCTTAAACCAGGAATCCTGGATACATCACCCAAACTCATTGGAAGACTACAGGTATGGCGTGGATGGGTTTTTTTGGTGATTTCATCCAAGACTCGATAGAGGAAAGTGTGGTCTGCTTTGATAAAAGAAAATCATATTCCCAATTCGTTGTCAAAACCCAAAAAATGTGGTTAGAAGAATGATCACAAGAACCAATGATTATAGTAAACAAGTGATTCTTGGGTTTTCATGGTTTAGAATTTAAATGGTTCAAGACATCCTCATTTCTGTTGATGACCTCCCAACTCCAGCGTAGCAACCCTTTCCCTCAATATGCGATTGTCACAATCCATTCTGCATTTGGAATCCAAATGCAAACCAACCATGATTTTCAGGATTTTTCCATTTTTTTTCGTCATTTTCAAATGGAAGACAGGAGTTGACCATTATGGTCGTAGTTAGGAAATCCCCGGATAATGACTGTCATAACCCTTTTTTTCTCATATTTGCAGTTTGTTGTTTGTTACGCTTGTTATACTGAACCAAGTTTTTTTTTCCCCACGAACTTGATAGGTCTTATACCGCAATCATTTTACCATGATTATTTTCCCCACTTTAAAGACGATTATCAGCCATTATGATAAACAATGGCCTAATTGGTGTAATCCATTCTGATCGCGACATGACATGAACCACAATCAACCATTATGATCGCGATTATAAAGAATTATTGAACACTATTTAAGCCTTGTTAAGCATGATCACACTCCGGTAATCAAAGATGTCAATGAAAAATCCCTAAAATCCCTTATCTCCAGATGATTTTTCCCTTAGAACCATTAAAATAACTCAGATTATAGCAGATTTCCAGCCATCCCCGGTTGATTGCCGGGGGGTCATCATAATTTACCCGGCTTCTCATTGCCTCTCATGATGGGAACCCTTGCCGGAGACCCGCTCCGACACAAGGCGAAGTCCGCTGAGGCGGCATTGGTGGAGGCAGAGGTGCAATGACGGGACTAGGTCAATCGACTGGATGGGTAGAAACTAACATCTGGTTATGACTAACATAGCCATGGAAAGATCCACCATTTTTAAGTTCGTTAAACCATCTATTTCTATGGGCCATCTATACCATGGCTATGTTAGTCATAACCAGAGGGTAACCCTTTAGTCTTTTGGTATCAATGGAATTATCTACGTTCACCAGCTAAGATCTGATTGTTTTGCAGGGTATCTAAGATTGGCCATGATAAACCCCTATTTATTGCCACTGAAAGATGAGTTTTTTCCTGGGCAAATGAGGTTTTGTTGGGGTGCCAGGGTGGTTTTGACGAAAAAACGCTTTGAAGAGTCTGAACTCCAACTGAGATGTTTGTGATAAGAGCATCGAGTATTTCCACAAGGTCTTCCTAGTAGCGTTTAGTTTGGGGTTTGCAAACTATGAACATTCTGGTATCAAAAATATGTCTGAACATGGCAGTTTACCCCCCCCCAAAAAAATGATAAAATTCATGGGAAAATGATGCTATTTACCATCACATCTGGGGTGGCATTTTTTGGACGACCATTAAAAATGACTAGTTTCAGTTGGCAGCTTTTTCTTCAAAAACGGTTAACAAAGATTTGGGTATGGCAAAAACCTGAATCTTAGAGGATGATCGGACAACTAATGCTTGAAAAAACCCAACAATTTAGGGATAAGATTGCAGTGGTGTCAACCATAGGCCTTCCCTTAAACCATCGTTGACGGACAATTATTCCAAATATGTTTGTACATTTGAAATTCGTCCACGAAAGCTGAGTGAGAAAGAAGGATCGATATCCTGAAATTGAACTCATCTTTGGACAGAAATCGGATTCAGATTAAAAAGCAAGATGGGTTGGTCTGAAAAATAAGGTGGTGTCAATTGAGTCAACATATCCTGGTTTAAAAACCTCATTTCCCCAATATTTGCTCATCATTTAGTGGCAATAAATAGGGGTAAACTCCCAATTTGCACATTTTTGAAAACGATCAGACAGATTCATTCGTTGTCAATCTTGGAAACTTGTCTCAAAAAGATGTACCATGATGTACCGTAAAAGGTGTCCTCTACCCAGAGAGATTTGGCACCCTAAATCAATGACTCGCAACGCAGCCAGTAACCAGTGGCCCCACCACTTCTGGCCAAGGATGAACAGTACCGACTGGTTCCCTGTAGCAGCAAACAACTTTTTGAACGCAAGTTTTCAGGTCTCCGACTCCGACATCTCCAAATTCCAAGACTTTCAACGTTCGAGATTTATGTCGATGAATTTTCTGGTCAACTAACATAATTAATCATAATATATCATAATTAGCTATAGAAAATGGTCTATTTATAGATGATTTACCCTCTGGTAATTTAACATAGCTATTGAACATGGCCATTTATAGTGGATTTTCCCATTGAAAATGGTGATTTTCCATAGTTTTTTGTAGGTTTACCAGAGGGTACCCATGAAAAACGGTGGATCTTTCCATCCAAAACCACGGTCGTCACGTGTAGCCGTTGAAAAAGGCCCGGCTGAGCCAAGCCTTGGCGGAGAGCAAAGCCATGAAAAGCGCCAAAGAGGCGGCAGAGGTGCGAAACTTTTGGCGATGAAAAAATTGAAAAATGGATAGATCAATGGATATAGTATGGATATATAGCTTATATAACTATACATACATATATATATAACTATAATATATAACTACATATATATATATATATCTGTTATATATCTAATATGTATTTATGGCAAAAAAAAAGATACAATGGATATTTCTAGTACTAATACATATATATATATATATGTAGATGTTGTATTGATATGGTAATGAAAGCATGGATAGTCATCTATTATAGTTATAACCAATCATAGTTTCAATCATCATAGTGATTTATCATGGTTATCATACTGACAGTTGACATATGGTCATTCTATTTATGAGCAATCACAAATCCGGTTACAATCGTTATCAAAGTTATAAGATAGATAGGCTTGTGGTTAGTATGGTGATCATAAAACAGTGATCACAATAGTGATTATAGCGGGTGGGACAAACCACATGATATTGGTTTGGGCTTATTGTATCTGACTTCAATTTGGGAGCAAGATTCCCAGCAATTTGATACTGTACGGTAAACGGCAAAAAGAAGCTTTCCAACCTAAAATAGGTATGAATTAAAGCTTTTCTGTCATTTTATTGGCTGCAACGATAAAGGTGTCCTTCTCAGAGTATGCTACCATGCTAATTATCGTAAGTGGCAATTGTTAGATCTGCCTGGATGGGAATTTTCTGCCAGGTAAGCGTTATCAGAATGGTCAAATGGATTGATAACCGTGACTCAACTGCTGGAAGAATATAGATTTTTCGCTAAAAGATACACCAATAGGTATAATCCTATCCTATCCTCAAATAGGTATAATCCTATAATTGATTATACTAAGGGATATACTTCGCTGACTTATAGTCAGCGAAGTCATTTCGAACATCCCAATAGGTATAATCCTATCCCTCCCCGGAACTGCAATGGGGGGTTGGGAGTACCCCAGGACAATCCCAGGACAATCCCGGGTTTCAAAAGTTGATTTGACCAGCAATGGTAATGCAATCAACAAATACAGTGCATAATTTCATAATATACCCCAAATGTGCAAAAATTAGGTGGTTAGGCGGGAGCTAAGGAGATAATAGGAATATGGTATCCAGATTCCCTGGGAGCTACAAAAAGTTTCCCAACCATATGACATGACACTTAGATAGTAAGAAACATCCCCAAGAAACTGTGCTTTGCAAAGCCTTAAGATTTGACCTTTCTGTGTTTGATGCATTTGGTTCATAAGTTCGCATCCGACTTGGACGCGCTGGTGGTTGAATAGAGCACGCGGCAGGAGTTTGCTCAAAAGACATCCCGACGTTTTCTTATTTGTGGGATTGAATCTACCATAAAGGGGATAGTATGGGGAGAGAATAAGACGTAATGAGAGATATAAGCAACAATCCGATATTGGGTCGAGCACCTGTATCTACATTTGTACATCCGACACGATACAATTGTTTTTCCAACACGTACACTCCCAAGAAAAAATTGGCTCCAAAATGTGACATCATTGGGAAACTGCGATTGTTTTTTCAGTCTTGGGAAAACCAGTCATTTTTTGGGATAATCTGTTTGAGCCATTCCCATATTCTCCATTTTATGAACCATTTCCTCAGTTCTGTTGGTTTCGCATCCCTTCCAACTTTGGCTAAAATCACCACGTCTCTTGGTCAGCGATTCTTGTTGATTGAAGTACATATGTTTACGAGTTGCTTCAAGGGGTAGGGTTCAAAGTCTAAGGTGCGGCAGATTTTGCTCATCTTCACTTCAGGAGATAGCATCGGGGTATCTCTCCGTTTTCTGATGACATAGTTTACCCTCCAGTAATTCAACATAGCTACGGAAAAATAACATTAGCACAGCCTTTTTTTTTCTGATGATGATTCCGCAAACTTAGAGCCGACTGGGAGCAACACATGACTAGGAATCCCGCAGATTGACCCAATCTCCGATGCTTGGAGGACCATAGCAAGACTGGGTACCATAGCTAGATGTTAGATGTTGATAAATGGAATAACCTTAGCACTTTCTGACTAAACTTAATCAGGTTCTTAACCAATTAACCAAAGGTCATTAAAAAAAAAAAAAACACCTCCATTCAAATTGCCATACATTAAATTTTGGCTGCGAATCCACCATTTCTGGAGGGGATCCCCAAAACCATGGCTTTCAATACTAAACTGGTCTAATTTGGATGATTTGGGGATACCCCTGTTTTAGGAACCTCCCTCTATCTATACGTATATATAATGATCCCATATTTGTTTGGTTTCCTACCACTGTTTTGAAGTAAATCCCCCGGTTGCCCAAAGAACATAATTGCAGTTTTAGAACCATTGCTTGGTTTAATGTTTCTTCGGGAGAACTAGTGATTTAAACGGCAATTATTGGTGGCATATAATGTGGAATTGCCATGTGTATACATACACATCTATTAACCGCTAAAAGCTTATTAAGGTTTCAGTGTTTAATAGATATGTAATGATATGTATTATACATAAGGCAATGGAAATTCCACATTTTTACATTTTCCCTTGTTGCCACATCTCCGGTCATTTTTTCTCCAAAATTGGAGGCACAAGCCCTGTCCAGCATGGCGGAACTTCATGTCTTGAACGACGCCAAGGGACAGGCTGAGGTCGCGGGGCAGGGTTTGTTTGGTGGATCTCTAAAACCTGCGTTTTTGTTTGTGTCGGACAAGTTTCGAGGGTCAGCAATGGTTTCACAACATTGGGATTTCTACCAAGGGGAAATGCCAGTGTTAGAGTTTCAATCAGCTGGAGCATTTTGGAGTGATGAACAACTTTTGGCTGTTGAACACCTCCAGGAAGCTGGTGTACGGAAACAATTTGATGATTTCAAGTGATTTCAGTGAAAAAAAACATCGCTTCAACTTTAACCTTTGCGTCCAGTCTTTGCGTCCAAATCCGTGTCCAAATCAAATCGGGGATGCGGACATCACGAGGGGAAACCGCTCATGGGGATCAAGGGGATATGGCATTCATTGGACCCCCATGATCTACAATGTATGTACATACTACTAGAGATATTATTTTTACGTATACAATATACATATACTGTACACATACGTGTAGACACATCATTTCTATATCATAAAAACAATCTCAAATACATCAATCTAACATCATCTAACCATCTCAATATGACTGGTTGGTGGTGACTGGAACATGGCTTTTATGACTTTCCATTCAGTTGGGAATTTTATCATCCCAACTGACTTTCAATCCATGATTTTTCGGATGGGCAAGGCTCAACCTGCCAGGCTCAACGTGCCCTGGCCTTGACACAAGCACGCGCCTCCTTGGAAGCCAAAGAAGCAGCCGAGGCGGGGCGAAGGGGAAGTGGGCATCCCCGAAATGGGAATGTCACGAGGAAAATCCTATGAAATTCATGGAAAAATATGAGAAATCCATAGAAATCCTCTATAAATGAAGGTTTTAATGGGAAAATTCCTTCACATTGTACTGATGATGTTTGAATATTGCCATGTTTGAGTACCGGAGTGTATTTTTTTGAGTGTTATTTCATGGTCATTATATATATATATATTTCCCGCAGCGATATGCAATTCATGTCGAACTACACGACATGTCAGCAGCAGCTTTCCGTCAGCCGAGTTGAGAAACACAATTTTAAAACATAAAGCGAATAGAACAAGAGAATCTGTGGCTGCAGGATAAGCTACTAACCAGCACCTATAACACGGGGCCCGATGGTTTTGTGTAGGTGGACCCCAAAACCAACGAAACGACGGAGAAGCAATAATCACAAAAGAGAAAATAAACTTAAGAACTTAAGGAGATTGGTCCCGTGAACGCACAGCAGGGTTCGTGACCACTTGTCTCTCGCTTTGGAGAGTAAAACTAGAAAAGGTAGAAAGTAACAGCGGTGGAGTGACCCTGGTCTCCCGGCACGCCTCTGGCGACCCCTGCGAGCTTTAGCTGCAAGGCAATGGAGTTGATGTGGCTAGAAGGATAATTTTGTCTTGGCCCCTAAAATTGAAGTGGAGAGAGCTTAATAAAAAGTTGCCACCTGTGATGTGGCATGGTTTGGTCGGAGCTGATGATAGCAGCCTAAGCCGTCACTGTGTAAGGCATGAAGCTAAGGAGAGAACGCTCTCCGGGCAATGGTAAATTGGGTGAATCGGTAAAGTGGTAAATTTTGCCGTGTCCGGGCAAAGATAAATTCGGTAAATCGGTAAATCTGTAAGTTTTAATCTCGTAGTGTCATTATACAAATTTACGATACTTTATGAATTTACCGTTTTACGGTTTTACCGACTCTTCCTCCTCACGCTCCAGTACATTGATACATTACGCTTGTACGCATTTCCCATTTTACGGCTTTACCGTCTTCTCCTGTTCACGCTGTCCACGAAAAGACATAAATTTACCACTTTACGGTTTTACTATGTTTTACTTCGGTTTCCTTCGCTTTCACACCTCCTTTACGGTTTTACGCTTTTACAGCTTTACTACGTTTTCCTGCCTACGCTTTGCACACAGAACATGAATTTGCCAATTTACGGTTTGACTTCGGTTTCATGCGGTAAATTTGGTAAATCGGTAAATTTGTAAATTTCGCCGCTCTTCAGGCAATGGTAAATTGGGTAAATCGGTAAAGTGGTGAATTTTGCTGTGTCTGGGCAAAGGTAAATTCGGTAAATCGGTAAATCTGTAAATTTTCATCTCGTAGTATCATGATACAACTTTTACGGTTTTACCGTCTCTTCGTCCTCACGCTGTAGTACATTGATGCATTACGCATTTACGGGCTTACGGTAAATTTTGTTTACGGACAATTTTGTAAATCTACCAAAAGTACCGTTTTACGCTCCGAAAGCGGCACGCTCAGATCGTAAATTTACGAATTTACCATTTTACGCTTTTACCGTCGCCTTGGCAAAAGACGTGCCTTAGACCCGCGCCTTACACACAGACACCACAGATAACAGCTTCCTGGTGGTAGTTTACCTCCAGGAGAAAAAATCCTTATAACAAATTTACTTTATAAACAGGGACTTTCAGTCCCGTGAGAACAGGAAATGGAAATTGCCACGGCCCCTTCAGTACAGAATGACGAGGAGTGTACATTCCAGCAAAGGAAGAGAGTGAAAAGTAGAAGTTGATGTGGAAGACTTCCCACTTTGTCTTCATCTTGGAGTGAAGTGTCAAAAATCCAGAAAATGTGCGTGGAGAAAATGTCGATAAAGTAGAAAATTGGCTGGAATTTCAAGCAGGAGAATAGGGCAACCGAAACGAGACACAATGAGACCAAGTAAGAGATGGTTGACTTGGTACTGGTTCCAGCATACTCGGAGAATCACATGTAGAAGAGAATGTGCAAGACTTCCCCCACAGCCTTTAGGATGGAGTTGAACACGACAAATCCAGACTAGTGGTTGGAGAAAATGTCGATGTAGGAAAATTTAGCCAGATCCTGAAAATGCAGGGGCTTGCGAACGGAGGCTAGCTAAAGCTTGTGCACGTGCCTGTTATTATATGTTATTATGGGATTATCATTCATAGTTGTGGGATCTTATCATAAGTTATCGGCGGTTGATGGGGATGTACCCTCTGGTAATTTAATCGTTTGCTATGGAAAATGGTTTGTTGAATTCGATGGTTTACCTACTTAAAATAGTAAGTTTCCATAGCTACATCAAACTACCGCGGGGCAAGTATTTTTGATGGTATAGCACAATACGTGCTATGGGTCAAAAGTTGGATTCCACACTGATGGTAAACAGGTATACGACGGTATACGATATTGTGATATTGTGGTGTCATATATCATGGGGAACTTTATTGGTGCCATGATTGAATGCCACGGTTCTTATGAGGATTCCCTCAACTTCTGGTTCTTGAGGTATATAGCAAAACTAATGGGATAGTGTAACAATAATATTACTGTGGCCTGTGAACTTCTTTTAATGAGGAGTATCGTCCATGAGGTTTTTACTTGGTTCTGGAACAACTGCATATGATAGTGATATATATATATATTGCTAAAGGGAACGAAGCGACAATATAGGTGCGTAAACTGTACATTTGCGCCAGTAAACGCATTGGGACGCCATCTGGCTCAAGACCCCATTGCAAGGTGAAAATAGTGCGCGGTGCTGCTTCATGTCTTGATTGGTTCGGTTAACAGCACAAGGGAACTACAACGTCAAGGATATCCAGAACAAGGATTCATTTGTTCACAGGTTATCAGCCGTAGTGCTCACTTCTCCCGCCGGGAGCGTGATGCCTGCGTGCTGGTAGCCGGGCCTTCTGAGCAATTGATTGAGGACGCAAAGGACCAATCAGCTCATCATCGCAAAGATGCAAGGCGGCAGCGGAGATTCGCGCACCACGCAATTTACCTTCAATGAGAACGCTGCTATGCCGGTCGAGGAGGTCAATCAATCTTCCCCCGGTGACACGGCAGACAGTGGCGGGATACGCTCTACCCGAACTACACAGTCCGGATGGCAAGTCACATCAAACAGACGAAGAATATCCACTCAAAGCACACCTAGATCTTCTCGAAACAGTGCTCGGAGTGATGTTGTCCGTCAAGGGCATCGACCATCTCGAGGACGAACTACTCCAAGGGACAGATCCACCAGGGCCGTGACCGACCGAATTGGTGAGAGGACCGGGGATAGTCGTGTTAAGAGGAGATCAACAGATACTTCTGTGGCTAGTGAACCTATTGCCATGATAGAGGAACTACGGGCACAATGTCAATCTCTACGTAATCAGCTGAACAACATGGAAGCATACGCTGCATCTAGAGATCAACTGATTCATGACATCGAGATTAGATTCACTGAATATCTTCGGGAACACAACCAGAATGTACTTGATGAGGTCAATGCACTCAACAACAGATTGTTACGTTCCGCAAATGAGGTTGCAGAATATCAAGCAGAACTAATGGTAGCATCTCAGGAAGATGAAGGTGCAACAATGCGCATTCAAGACCTTGAACGCCGAGGTGCTCTAATGGAACATGGTGCACGACGGATCCATCAACGTGGCATGGAGATCCAGGAAGAGTACAAGGATGAAGTACATCACCTTCAAGGACTACTGGGCAATACGGAGGCAAGACTTCAACAACTTCATCAGACCAATGTCTTAACCACCGATATTGCCAATCGACTATACAATGAAGGTCAGGAAATGCAAACAGACTTCCAGAATTCAATCATGGAATATCGTAATCGATCCGAGATGGCATCCTTCTCTAGTAATCAACTTGAAGTGATTAGCCAACAGCAATCGATTGCAGTTCATGAATTGTCTGAGCGGAATCAACTATTGAGTGAAGCCTTGGTTCAGTCTCGTAAACAGGCCGAGCTGTATGAGAGCAGTATTGATGAGATCACTAGAGAATCTAGGAAGAAGGTGTTCGAGGCAAATCAGGCCAAGTTGGAAAGTGACCTGAAGCATCGGAATACCGAACATGATACCGTCAGAAGAATTGCATCATACAGGAATCAAGAGGCCGAAGCAATATCGCACCTGAGGCTTGAATCACAGGCTAGCACAAATTCAATCGCAAAGGCAGAGCATTATGAGGAGCTCTATGCGAACGAGCAGAAGATTAACTGCGAACTGAAGGATGAGATCAAGTTGCAGAACGCGAAGTTACGGAGATCGCTGACTCAGGGTTCTACGACCGACGGTCGTGGCCCCGATGAGATGCTTGTCGAAGATCTGCGTAATCAGGCTAAGATCGCTCAAATCAGGGTTCAGGACCTAGACCATGAAATTCATGAATGTTTACAAGAGAACCTATTGTTAAAGGAGAGATTGACTGAAGTTGCGGATGTAGGGGCGCCGTCCCTCACCAATACCGAGGTCCGAACTCTGAAATCTGAACTAGAGAATGAGCGCAAAATGGTATTGGCTAGTGGTGTTCAACAATATGAGAGATCATGCATATTCATGGGAGAAATCCAGGATAGGGATGAAAAGATCGGTATTAAGAATTCTGAGATTATGGACATGAAACGTCAAGTAGATGAAATGAGGAAGAGTCTCAAGGATTCTGAAATATCCATGTCAAGGGTCAACCCTGACACGCTTTCCTATTCTGCAGGCATTCCCAACTACGATCTCGCATCAAGACTAGTCATCGACAAATTGGAGAATGACGTGAGTGAGGCTAACTGTGAAAACGCTATTCTGAAGTCTTGGGTCTCGCAGATTGACAAGGAGTTGAACCATGAAACAAATGTAGCCAAATCCTATCGCGAACATGCTGTACATCCTCAACGACAACCTTCTCAATCAAACAAAAGAATCACTGATCTGTTGAGAGAAGTCGACA